CTATTAACGTACTAGTAATTAAGATTAAATTCCAAAAGCCCTGTTAAATTAAAGTATAAACCAAACCATAGCCTTTAAAATTCAATCAAACAGCGTTTGTAGTATAAGATGGTTTGCCTATACAATAATTTATGTACATTTCTTAAAAGTGTAAAAAAAATATTTCAATATCCATCTCCGAAGCATTACAAAATTTGGCAATACTGTTCACTTGATGGAAGGTAATACGCCAGCAACATAACAAACTAAAATAGATGCGCTGTCTACCTTTTTGGATTGAGATACTTGGAAATCTACAGACTGAAGCAGAAACGCGGTTAAACTTTTACATTTGTGGGAGTCATAGACGAGTGGAAGAGTTTGGTTTTGCCTTTCTGACATTCCATGTTTTGTGCAGCAGAGATGTGGCCCTCGGCCATTCCAATACGTCTATATATATCAGGTTCATAGGAGCTGTCATTCGTGACTGGATTTGGGTTGAGGGCACCAGTGACCTGCAGGGTGACTTCTGACAGTCTAAGGTCTTAGGGCAAGGGCTGGTAACAAACAAAAGTAATCCAAGTAGTCAGTGTTAGCTCAGTTTTGTTAAAGTTTAGAATTTAAAAGAATCCTTTTGTATATTTCCAATTTAACGTATTTTTAAGTGAAGTGGAGACCTAACCTTACTTGAGAATTCGAGTAAACTCACAAAAGCGAATGAAAGCCACTTAATACAATTAACGTTTGGGAAATCTTTAAGGCCTTTAAGGATGAAGCCCAGTTGCTTATATGCTTTATCTGTTTTAAGTTTGTAACTTTAATCGTCTAAAGTTTATTATAATCTAAGTTTATTTTATTGCCTACACATAAATTTAAACATATAAGCAAACTATCTTCCACTACAAAATCTTTGAACTAAATGTGATTTAAACTTGATATGGTCTGGTTCGTGGTTTGTAATTGAGCCTTCTTCATTTGATCTTAATTGCATAGTTATCATTAAAAGAAAAAGTCAAGTGATATTATAAAATCAATTAGAAAAAAATAGGAACTCTTACAGGTCCTCAATAAAAAACATATTACAATTATAAAAAAAAACTTTGGTCCCATAGTAAATTAGATCCTATAAGTATACGGTTTGAATGAGTATGGTTACACTGAAATATTGCAATACATATATAATATAGGAAAGTACGTATTTTAATTTCCCGAGAGAGAAACGCGGTATTTTCTTATTGCCAACTATCATTAGTTATATCTGGATTGAAGACTATTAAAGATAAAAAAATCGTTTCAAAAATAATGCTAACCGTTTAAAACGTTAATTATATTATAGCGTCGAAATTGTTACATAATCCAAAACTCTATATTATTATATAAATTTAAACGTTACATTATTATATATATATTATATACCTTTATTATTATATAATTACCTTTTCATGTTTACGTTTCAATATCTCATAAATAACATTGTTTAACTTAAGTAGTTCATGATTAATTAATGACTGTGTTGACACCATTTCTCACACTCCAAAATCCATGTTTACTTTTCAATACCTCATAAATAACCTAGTTCATGATTAGTTAATGACTTTGTTGATACCATTTCCCACACTTCAACCATATAAAATCCTGTTCCTTGTCCCAACCATATTAATTCTTACTTAAAATCTCGTTCCATATATATTGTATCCTAGTTTAGTCAATATCTTAATAAATAATTTATTTTTAAAAGTGTTGTTGTCGCTGCCGCGTAACAAAATGTCGACTTGTAGTAAATGATAATAATGATGATGTATTATTCCCGTTTAAAGTCGTTTTATTTAAATATGCACAACATACAGTACCATGCCAATGAAGAAAAACTCACACGATTTTAGATTTAAAAAAAAATTACGTCACGGACGGGACTTGAACCGGCATCCACAGTGTTCCGTGCTGCTCTGACCAATTGAACTAGCTAGCTATTTTTTTTTCAACTTATTAATACATGCACCACTCACGCATTTTAATTACCACTAATTTTAACTTTAACACTTACGTATTGAAGTTTCGTAATAAAAAATAAATGGATTTCTAATTTATCTAATGCCACTATGTGCACTATGAGATAAATAGTAAAGTTTTCAAAGGGTCAAAAGATAGATTAAATGACTTTCTACTTCGAACCTTTTTAAAAACCCCGGGACCTCAAGTTTGGGTGGCTATCGATCCCGGTGATAAGGTTTCAAAGAAATAGCGATTCTTATAAAATGATAATGCTTTATTAATTGTTTGTTTGTGTGAGCGATAGCGCTTATGATAATTACTGTACAAACATTATTATCAAATCAATTAAGAGAATGAAGAATTCATCACTTATACCTACGGGAATAAGGGTGTAGTTCAATTCATTTAGGGTCCGCTATATAACATTGAAGGTTTTAAGATAATTATAATTTAGACATGAAATATTTTTTACGTCAAAGGACAGACAAGCCTGTGGTTCATTTAATGGAAGGTGAAATACACCGCATCAAATTTGGTCTAGCCGTTTGACCGTGAAAAAGTAACAAACGTACTTCACAATATTTCGTAAAAATTTAAGGGACATAACCTTTGAATTTGAATTATTAATATCAAAAATAAATTTAAAAAATTTCGACTCGGGCAGGACTCGAAAATTTTTTCAATTTATTTTCGATTTTTAAATTATATAGTGCCTTCATGTGCAATGACATGTAAAAAATATTAAGTTTTCCAACGTTATAGCTTTTTAATTTCATCTTCAACGATTTCTTAAGCTGCAAAGCATAAGACATTGAACCTTAATGCGCTAGAGTTAAGGTTGAAATAACATTGCGCGAGAGGTGCATGTATCAATAAGTTGAAAAAATTCGACGATGAGGTGTAGGACTCGGTAGCTCAATTGGTAGAGCAACAGCACGGAACGCTGACGATGCCGGTCCTGCCCGAGTCGAAAGTTTTTTCAATTTATTTTCGATTTTTAAATTATTGGTTATAGACAACAAATGGGACTGCAGCGATGGTGGCCTCGATTGGTTGGCAATGGAAGACGAGAACAGCGCAACCAGACGGATTATTGTGGATTATTACCAACTAGTCTGCCATCAGCAACTCTATAGGGGAAAGCCGTTACACAAAGTTATGGACATTATAAAGGTGAGGAATATAGTTGGCAATCGCTAACTTACTCCTAGAATACAAATAAAAGTATTGTTTTAACAGACAAGAACATCTAAGTCTAGTTTCTTCACAATATTATCCTTTCCTAGAACAATAGATTTAAACTGTTATGTGTTTATCAAAAGTAAATAATGGACGGTAGTCTCGAATAAAGTACCCTCCTAATGAAGGTGGGTAGTTTATTTAACATTTGGAATCTTTTCAAAAGAATATGTGCTTTGACGTTTTAAAGAAATAGACTCAAAAGTGTTATCGTGTGCCAGCTTAAACGTTGCTAAAGTCCTATTTTTAGATCTATTACCATACGTAACGACGGATGATTATGTTTGAAAATAATTCATGTTTACGAGTAAGATAAAACAGAACAATTAGCTTCGCAATAAAATGTCTTTGACATGTTGCCGACAAAAAATTTCTCTTATCTGTGCTTGTTACAAGGTCATCTGGTCTTTGGTTAAATGGGGTATGATTGGAAATGTTTCATTTGCAATTTTGTACATTTGGTTACCAGATGTAGTAGCATTTATTATACTACTATTAACTGTATCTAAAAAAAGTTATAAAGCTGAAGAGTTCGTTTGTTTGAACGTGCTAATCTCAAGAACCACTGGTTCGGATTGAACAATTATTTTTGTTTTTGTTAGACCTTTTACCAAGGAAGGCTTTAGGCTTTAAAACACCAGGTTGCGACCAATAAAAGGGATGAGACAGAGGAAAATGTAGAAAAGGGGGAAAAATATTCATGTTTGAGGGTTTTCGTAGCGTGCGGTGCAAAAACGGTTCACGATACCCAATAAATATGTAGAAAATAATTATTCCTTTTTAAATTAAGCGACAGTATTATTTTATGATTAACTCACAAAAACCGTTTTTATTGTAATAAAATTTGCTCGCAATATTTCATATGGCAAAAGAACGTGTGCCCGGTCAGCTAGTACCTATATAAGATTCTAAATTTGCTAGTTCTATGAATTATATTCAAGGCTTTATTGAACTCGACTTCAGATGGTTCGCCACACATGTCCGAAGCCATGCGCCTGCGCAATGACCCACGTGGTGACAGATAGAGCTGGCGGGATAATACCTTTAATCACCGTTGACTGTGCAAATAAGAGACTAATATCGCCGCCGACTACTCTACCACCGAGTGCAACGACTTTAAGATTAGAAGGAAATAAGGTAAAGAAAATAAAAAAAGCCATTCCAAAGTGTATTTAGACTTACTTTTAAATGTATAATTTACGAGACCACATAAGTTACGTCAACGTTACTTAATGTGTTAATATGGCTGGTTTTAAGTGGACCCATCGATCATTATTTATTGAAGTGGTAGAAAGTATGCACTTATAAAACTGGTGCATTACTTCTATTGTTAAAGAAATATTTAACATTGTTGCAATTTGTTTATTAAACAGTTATATTTAAAATGTTGCCATTAGGTATGTAAAAAGGGCACAGAAGTCTGCTCAACTTGTTTTTAATCAAAGGCGATCATTGATACGGATACATAAATGTGTCCACAGACCCTACGGGTCGAAACGAGATTTTAATCTGTATTTTTTTTAACTATGTATATAATCAGTTTGCATACCAGGTTAATAAGCATTGCAAATAACATCGGACATTTAATAGAGCAAAGTCTAGCAAAACTTTTAGTATCTAACCTTTTTGCTAGTCTCAACGTTAATTTGCAATATTTTATTTGTTATAGAAACCATTATTACGTAGGTACTTCCTAAAAATAAAATAATATTTGACAAAAAAACCGTCTCCATAGAGTAAACTCTAAGGCAAAATATAAATTGGTTAAATAAATTAACATAACCGATGTATGTACCTAGTTATTATTAGCATATATAAAAAAGCGAATAAGTGTTAACCTCTTTTAATGTCGGTTACGTCAATAAATAGGTATGTACGTTAGCTAAGTTGTAGTAATTATATTTTATAATGAGATTTTGACACCGTATAAAAAAAAATGTTTTTTCATAGCACAATATACGTGACACGTACACAAGCAAATACTTTTAACATGGTCAGCATTGTTTAAATATGTCTAGTGTTAAATTCACTTTGCTTACCAATGGCTTGGCGATAATTTCTTTGTACTTGTCATTTTATATGGTAAGCGAAACTTTTGTAAACAATCGCTTCGTGTTACCAGGCCGTATTTCAGTAATTATTAGATACTGAGAATTTCTTATATAGCAAACGTATTGGAAAATGAAACTTTGTTTATCACTTCCTTTGAAATATATTTACGTAATCAGGCAACGAATATTAGTTGAATTACTTTGTAGCGACGAAATTGTGAGAGTTCCGCAGTTTTTCCACGTGCCCAATTAAAGTCTCTTAAAAATGTTTACACAGGTTTAATCCCACGCAACATTTTGTAAACGTGACCTACAACAATAAAAATAATATATTTACATCTTGTAATGTTAACTACTGTCTGTAGTTTACGCGAGTAGTACACGGCTGCTGCAAAGCATCCGAAACGTCGGGCTGTAGTTAAAAATAATTTTCAAACAAGTTTAACTTAAATATATAGCGTTTTAAACCGTTAAAGTGTTTTATTTAAATATTGTAATGTTCTTTCATTCAATGCCATCTGTTCTAAATATTTGTCGAACATCACCGCTATTGGTTAACTAATCTAGATAAATTTACAGCTTAACTCAATAAGGCCCCTAGTACAAGAACCGCAATATAGGAAGTTAATGGACCTGTACCTAGATAACAATAGCATACACGCTGTGAAAGAATTGGAGGGATCCGAATGGTTCACAACGTTCCGAGTACTAAGTTTGAGAGGCAATTTTCTAAAACAAGTGAGTCATGAATCCTTTCACGATTAAGGGAAATATTTTTCCCTTCTACAAATATCGTTAACGATTATTTAATCGATATTTTTTTTAATGAATGGCGAAAGAAAACGTATGAAAAGATAGGTAATGTATACACCCTATGTTTTACTAATAATTTTCTCTTACTGTACATCTAAAGTAGCTTGAATGTTGTTTTATATTCGCATATTTAGTCCCAGCCATCTTGTGGTCCTGTAAGGGTTAATTTTAATTCAAAATGGCGGCATATCTACAATCTATATTATATTTTGAATCGAGAAACATTTTACTTATCGCTTCTTTGTAGAGAGGAATTGTAAATAGTTTATCTCAGATCAAGAAATGCATAACTAAAGGAAAAAAGTAGTATTTTTAATGTTTGAACGAGGCTTATAATCTTCACAATAACTCTAAAAAATCATTAAATTTATAGACATCTGACAATATTTTCGACGAACTTCGTCGTAAATATTTTTGGAGGTTTATTTTTTATTGGTATTAGATTCGGGTTCCACTTGTTATAGAACCATCAAATGAAAGCAGTGCATAAATATTTTATCATTAGATTTTTCTATTATTTTAATTCCACAATAATATCTAAGTATTGTCAGTAGGATAAGCGAGTAGTACACACAGTAATATGTATTTTATTTAAAATAAAATATCTTTATTTTCCATTCCAGATCCCGGTATACGCGTTTGATAAAGCATTTCAAGCAAATAACAATATAATGGGCGTGTTCCTGGGGCAGAATCCTTGGCGATGTGATTGTCATTTTATACCGCGCTTTCAAGCATTGCTTCTGAAATATAAAAGGATAATTCGAGATCTTTCCGATATAAGATGCTCGAAGTCCGACGACAAGACTATCTCGCAAGTTCAGGTAAGTGAATATTAAAAAGCATTATTGCAACTATATTATTGTACTTTATCTTTATTTATGTTATAGTTATGTGAATTTATTATTATAATGCCTGTAAACATAAGTCATTTGTGTAAATGTTGTGTTGTTTATGAATTAACGAAAAAAAAACAGAATAGTTTTGTATTATATCTTAGCACTGACCTGGAAAGTGTTATTAGGCCATATGAAGTATTCCGAGCAAGAGTTGATTACCATAAAAATGGTTGTAGTGAAGTTAATGTTAAAAGATACTTTCGTAGGTATCCTGAACCGTTTCTTCGCTCCTGTTGGTTGCAGCCTACGTTCCTCGCTTAATGGTCTAATCAACACAAAAAAAAAAATCAATTCGAACCAATGATTACAGCATAAACAAATTTTCAACTTTATAATATTAGTATAGATTGGTTAAACTGTATGTTAATATAGGGATGCATTCTATCTAGTCTTTGGTATGCGGTAAGATGTCTCTCTGTCCAGGTAGGTACCACATGGACAGCCGAGTGACAAAGAGGCTCATGAGAAGGCGATCCTTTATTGTTTCCCAAAATAACTGCATCACCAAATGTGTGCACTTAAAACTATCAAATTGCGATTTATTGTGCCTAAAGAAACTATTGTCCTTGATACATCTGTTAGCAATAAGCTTTTGTGTATGCAATATACAAAGAAAAAGGTTTAGTTAAAAATACGAGACAACATTTTTAAGTGTCATTATAGTTGAAACAAAAGTTCAACATGATTATTAATAAGGGTAAGCTATATACCTTTAGGATCTTAAAAAATGGTTTTCACACATCGATCAATTAGTGATCGATGTTTTCACAAGATATTTATTTATTTATTTTATTTATTTATTTATTTACAGAAATCCTTACAGCTAAACGTACATGTTATTTTGTAGTTAGACAATTAATTACGCCAATTACAAGGATTTACAAATAATAATTTAACAGGATTACCCAAGTGACAAGGTTCTATATTATAGGTGAATAAAACGAGAACTGAATTGACGTATCCAGGGATGGGGTGTGTTTTGTATGCATGTGTAAGTGTAAGAGAATGTATGTTCTTATTTTTTTATTATTTAAATTTGCATTGAAATTCGTTATATTGGCATAGGTCTCCCTATATTTCAGTTATATACATTTCATATTTCGAGTTAATTTCTTATTATCGATTTTTTTTTCATTTTCCAGACGAAGTACAAAATTATATTTAAATAAAACACTTTAACGGTTTAAAACGCGATATATTAGTTAAAAATAATTTCCAAATAAGTGTTTTTCCGATCGATACGAGGCAAGTAAGTGATCAGTCTTTTGTGCTCCTTCCAAAAGTAATATGGCATAAAATACACCTTAAAACATCGCAGTTTGATTGGAATTCGCAGAAAACTGTAACAGCTTTTATCAAAGGAAGCGCGTCTTTTGTTATCATTGCTCTTTTGTTTCGTTAATTTGTTTTATTTGTTTGCCGATATCTATTTTCTTTTACACCTCAATGCCTAAAAACAACATTACTTTTGAGACATGAACATACACGATACGTACACGTAGGTACCTACTCATTGAAATAAAATACTTTCAACACAATATTTCATATCAATGTTTTAGTAGCTGCGATTAAACATTTACAGCAACACGGCTCGGAATTAAAAATCATAATTTCAATATATTTATTTGATTTAAGAGTATTAAAAAAATCTCTATAAACATCTTCGCAAAACTATTCGCCCTACATTTTGGTCCTTCGAGCCGGGTAGGAATCATGGATTTACGATTTCTTTTAACTATGGCCCGCCGTTTTGGATGCGAGGCACAAGTCGTCACGGAGGGGAGGGTAGGTATTGAAAATGAAAAGATACCCTTCATAATGAATTTTCATATATTTTTTATGTTTGTGTTGATTGTTCTTATTATTTTGATTCAATGATTGTTTTCCTAAGATAGTAAGACTCGTGCGAAAAGTATTTAAACAGGTGCGCAGTTTTCGGTAAACAAGTTCATGAAACATCTGCGCCGAACAAGTGCTCCCTCATATTGTACCAGAAGAGTTGTTTGGTCAAATCTAAGTGAAGATCTTATAATGTTTGAGGTCTCTGAACCAAGCAAACAAGTACAAATTTTAAAAATCTATCCCTGAATTCGGCTAGACCTTGGGATCGCGACATATAGCCGCAAAGTATAATTTCATAGGAACAGAAACAAACCATAATAATAACAAAAAATACTTTGCCACAAGCTTATCTTACTAGTTAATACCAGTTTAGCAGTTCAGATTTCGATATAAAACTGAATCTCAAAGTTGTCGGAGAATCCCGAGCAATGCCGTTTTAAAATAAGTGACATCACATTCCTCCTTATTCTGGTTATCTCTGAGGTTGTCTATGGTAATAGTGAAACCCAAGAAGAGTTTGACTAATTTATTTGTTCGTATAGTACGAATGAGATTGTTGTTGTTTTTTAACGTGAAAAATTATACGGAAACAATAGATAACCAACCCTCAAACGAGTGCGCATCGGGTATCATCCACTGCAATTTATCATTCTCGACGCTTCTCTATCACATCCTCAGGTGGACTCAAACAGTACTCAATTATTAAAAAAAAAATAAGAGTGTAGGTAAGCCTCCATGTCGGCGTCGAAAAGAAAACGCGTTACTAGTTAAAAAATAGTCCTAGTATTAAATATATACTCCGGGAAATGTAGAAACGGAACAGCAACATAAACAAGAGTCAGGAACTACCGACCACGAAATTGTAATATCTTTAGTATATCGCTAGCTACAAAATTGTATAACCTAATTTCGACTTAAGGTCTTTTTTACTATGCACAACTCCTAACGTTAACGTGACATAGAAGATACATTATTTTATTTGTCTTTTTATTCCAGATAAGCACAATGCCACTGGGAAATGTATGCAGCAGACCCGAAGTTAAATCTGTACCTATTAGCTCGATAAACATAGTCAATTTAGTCCTTAGTTTCCTTATATTTGTAATAGTGGGTAAATTTCTTTACGATTGGCATCATTTTAGGACAACGGGGAAACTACCTTGGATATCGTCTATATTACCGTAAAAATAAATATGTATATTATACTTATGTAAATAGTTATAGGCGTTGACAAAAAGTGTTATTGAAAGTCATAAGGCCCAAATGTAATGAAACGAAGGAAGAGAGAGACATATATACGACTATGAATCGGATGTAAAAGAGTTTGCTTTTAATGAAATAATTATAAATAAATAATATAATAAAAAAAACTAGGAATAAGACATGAATTTGAGATTATGGTCTATTTAATTAAATTAAATTTATGTTATAATGTTAAAAATGTACACATTAAGTATGTATTTAGTTTTAATATAGGGTTTTCTTAAGTACACAACATAATACTATGTCACTAATATGGCTTTAAAAAGTCTGTACCTGATGTTTAAAACCTGTGAAAAGGTTGTTGTTATATTAATGTAAAAGTTTTTAAAAAATATAATAAAGTGCAATCAGTATGTATTTGCTTTCACGTAACTGAAATATAAAAAAGGCAAATACAAATTTTACCACAGATTAAAAGGAAATAAAAGTCGTATGACATATGACATTATCGATTAGCTAAACTTTTGAGTAATTTCCTGTAGCGATAAAATATTAGTACCTTTTTTATATATACATTTCGTTATAACAGCCTATTATTGCGGCCCACGCTTGTTGTTCCCTTTATCTATTTACTGCATGCTAAAGATAGATTTTGAAGTAATTTTGTTTGTACATATTAAATTGTATTTTTGATACAGAATATGCGAACATCATTATTAGTGTTACTTCGTTATGTGGCGCGAAATTTGAAATGCTTACACACACATGCATAAGAACACAAGACAATTTTGCGCGGCGATTGTAGTGGCCGGGAACGACGGGAATTATGACGAGCGTGGGTCAAGCATACGAAAGGTTAATCGAGTTTTGTGCTCTATTATAGTTTCTGTATTACAGAGCCATCTTGTGTCTATATTATGTAGTATTTAAATTCACCAGTCATGAGCGAACAAAATCAGATACCTTCTGAATTTTATTTGGTTACTTACATTTATCATAGATGGCAGTAAAAAGAATTCTCAGAGCATCTTAGAGCAATTGATGCTTATTTTTATATGTATATAAATTTAACTAAAACAAAATTTGAAGAAACTTAATTCATCTCTACATTTTATTTTACTACTTTTAAATTAAAGATACTTTTAACTGTTTGGCCTCCTCACCACGGCTGCTGCAAAGCATTAAAAATGTCGGGCAGTAGTTAAGTAAATTTAACTTACTTAATACTTTTCGTTTTAAACCGATAAAAGTTTTATTTAAATATTTATGAAAACAAAGGTTAAGAAAGCAGTATTAACAATTTACGAGACGTGTAAAGAGTTGGAAATTTAATGATTGATACATATATATTTATAATTTCAGTGTAACAAAAAAAAAACCGGCCAAACTAGTCGGAATTTATATAACAACGCTTCAACTTTACCTATTCCTTGTTTGTGTCGGACATAATACGTTTTACTAATAAGACGACTGTGTCCTGCTCGAGCGAAATTAATGTATTTTTCCGTTTATACTTTTCCTGGACTTAAAGCCGGAAAATCATAGTAACATTGAGCTACGCAGGCAATATCATCGATAAATCTTAGGTGGAATGTTAGCAGATGCCAGCGAATCCGATATGGTTGTCAGACTGCTGACTCCGCGAGTTTGAATTGCGTGTTAATATTTGCCGACGAAGCGTTTTGCCTGATGTGATTAATTGTAATCTAGCATTATTGACTAAATTGCATATGTAATTGCGATATTTCATGAAATTCCACTAAAATGTAAACAAAATTACTAGTACACAAAACAACTATATATACAAAGCAAACTACTAAATTGTATCGTAGACTAGCTGTGCCCGCGACTTCACACGTATCACAACACTTGTGGATAAGATTAAGTAATACAGCCTAACAAATAATTGGCAATAATGCATTATTTTAATATGAATAATTCTGTCTGTAGTTTACGCGAAATATATTAATTAATTAAACTCATCCCCTCCCCGTGACCACGCCTGCTGCAATGCATCGGAAACGTCGATCCGTAGTATAAATAATTTTCAAATACAATTTAACATATATTTCGTGTTTTAAACCATTATGTGTTTTATTAAAATATGTGCTACTCGCGTAAATTGCAGACTGTATTCAGATGTAGACCAATTCTAGATAGTAAATTTGAATCTCTTAATAGAGATTCTGGTTCTGGTTTTTTAATTGAATCTGTTCTTCTGCCAATAAATTGTACTATAAGTGATTTATCTTGCTGGCTGACAGCTACCCCGGAACGCATTCCACTCTCCACGGGAGACGTAGAAAAAGGTTGTGTAATGTGTGGGATTAGTTAATGAGGTCTATCGTGTTGAGAAAAAATGGATCGCTTACAATTTTATATAAAATGCTAGTAAATTTAATTCTAGCAAAGTTCGGTTCTCTATTATATTTATTTAATATCTCATTTAGTTTATCCACCACTATAGCCAAATGGTTAGACGTGTAGCCAAATGTTTGAAGCCTGTTTTGAGTAAAACCGCACGATTCCCGGGAGAGTTCCCGGGACTCGTGCGGCGACCTCACGCAACCGTCGTGTCATCTATACAAATATTAAAAAGCGTTTGTTCGACCGCGCTAATCTCAGGAACTGCTCTATCGAATTGAAAAAATGTTTTCGTGTAATTGGACTATTTTTTTTAATAAATAAATTTATCGAAGAAGGCGATAGGCCATACAACATTGGGAAGTTTGAAAAAACGAGAAGATTTTTTCATTTCGTGGCTTTCTGTGGGGTTCGTTGTGACCACGATTCAAGACAACCAAATAATATGTATGAAAGAATGATATTTTGCACATGAAGGCACTATATAATTTAAAAATCGAAAATAAATTGAAAAAAATTTTCGACTCGGGCAGGACTTGAACCGGCATCGTCAGCGTTCCGCAGAAAGCGTACACGTAGAGAATGATTCCTCTTTAAGTGATCGAAAAAAAATATCGGGACATATGCTATCTTTTAAGAGTAAATTGCAAGAACTACGGCACGCGGATGACGTGGCCGTCGTGGGTAACAGCTATAATATATGAAGATGGGGAGGTTTGCAAAAATACATTTTGATGCACAAAACAACTATCTTACGCGGACGAAGTCGCGGGCACAGCTAGTCAAGAATAAATAGATACTGTACACGAACGAGCAATACATTCGATACAAAACGATTCACTTGTTATAAAAGTTTGCTTTCAGCATCTTACTTCCGTTTCCGGATTTCCTATACTAATAAATATAAACCGATTAAATCTTGCGAAGTATGACAAAATGATTTATGTTGATGTTATGATAAGTTACGACAGATAACAAACGATCTGAGAACACCAATGTATCGAAATGTACTATACTAATACGTCAGCATTTTGGTATACAATATATATTTGGTTCTTTATAATAGTATTAACTTAGGTTAATCTAACAATAACCAAAGTACAATTAAAATATTTTCTTAAAAAACTTCACACACATAATAAAAAAAACCCAAGATTTCTCATGTTTATATTGCGTATAACGCGATAATAGAACGATACGTAAAATAGGACACAAATTTGTGCCTGAATGATATACATGAAGTATTCAATGATCCAGTCCATTCTTACTAAACTATACCAATAAAGCTATCAAATATAACTGACGATAACAGTAGAATTTTTATGCTTCACTTAAAAAGTTCTTTTCACAGCTACTTAGTTTAGTATTAGGAATCACACTTTGTATAATATTTGTCAAAGTTCTTTTCAGAATTATCGCTTTGAAGTTGAATATTTTCTTTTGTATTATTATTAGTTTATTCTTAATTTCTCTGATTTAAAATAAATATACTTCATAGCAATATGCCTAGAAGAAGAATGTCGCTGCTATCTAAGAATAGTTCCCAAGCGAGATTAGCAAAGTTTGTCGTATTGGTGAGTCTTCTTCCTAAAATGATCATCTGGAAATATTATAGAGTACGCGTCCCAATCGCAAGCCAGAGAATCTATCGTCGAATATTCAGGTTCGTTTTGCAGAACAAAATGCAAGTTCGTCTCAGCGACTTGAAGGAAATAGAGCTAGGAATTCGCGAACGCGTGCACGGGACTCTAACACTGAACGCTCGCAGCGGCTCCTGACACAGCGAGATAGACAACGGTCGTTAACAGCTAGGACGCGAAATACATTTTTTTTTTCTAATTTTGTGATTCGTGGTCGTTTTAGTTAGCATGCATATAATTCTGTAAAGTCTGTATTTATTTATGTCTACCGGTGCGAAGCCGGGACAGGGCCGCTAGTTAAGGATAAAGTAATCCCTCACGTCTAGTTCTAGAGCTGATTCGACGGCTGTATTGTGACGTCATCATAGGACGGGCGCACAATACCTTCATTACGCTCAAAGGCGTAGGCATTGTTCGTTGTGCCTGCTTTATATAATTTTAATAGAGCTAACAATTAAATGAATATTGTTCCTTATAAACTATAAGAGTTAGGTAAATTAATCCAGTCAAATAAGACTTACACACTTGTACATATAAATTGTTTTATAAATTAATAATTTTTCAAATAAAATCCCATCTTGTAACATTGTGGTGACAATAAAGTATTTTTTGTTTGTTTGTTAAATGAAAAATCCCCTTGTGGAAAAAATCATGGCGAAACTTTGCAAAATTTTACGATTTTCTAGAAAAAATGTATACCCAATTTTTTTATAAGTTTTACCATTTCATTACAAGAACTGAAAACATATTTTATATTATTTTGACTGGACTAGAGAAACTGTGCGTAAGAAATGGTAAATGTTTAAAAGATTGATTAAGAAATCTATAAGACGCAGGCTTAATAAGAATGTATCTGGAACATCTCGAAAAATGGCCAAGTCCGAGTCTTACACCAAGGGTAACCACCCACACGACACTACCATAAATTAAAATTACTATAGCAACATGAGACTAAATTTACACAGCACAGTCTAAAAA